TAGTACCCTTTGTACCTGGCGAACGAGTAGAGCTCTCGAATTTTTTAATTTGAATTGAGGGTCACTGATGGTGTGTATGACGGATATACCAAAGGGTTTTTGAAAATCCGTAAAAATGCACGACAAGTACTAAAATGTGCTGCAGTTGGTACCATTTCGTATCATGTGTGAGCTAAAACTTAAAATCTGAAATTGAGTTGGGTCGATCTAAGGGGGTAGTTTTGGGAGTCGTTACCGTACGAAAAGTATCAGATGGTAAAAAATTTGGTACGATTTGATTTGGAGAAACGGATGGAGCTGAAATCGCAAAATTTGAGATTGACATTACTAGCGGGATGTAGGATTGGAATATGGAAGTAGTTTTCGAAATGTGTACTCATGTGCACGTAAAGGTACTAAATTTGGTAAAATTTCGATTTGGTAGAGTTGGTATGCTGAAATTTGGAAATAAGATTAATATTGCATTTGTAAGATTGGTGTACAGGGTTGCCCATATTAAATGGACCTTTGGGCCCATTCCAATCGACGAAGCTTGTCCGCAGGCAACATTCTTTGCGTCAATTGAATTTTGTACGGGAACAAATGCAAATCAATGAGAATAATCCGTTGTAAAGTGGACCGAGCCATGCCCAACTGCTGAGAACGGCGTTTTGGGATGCTCTTGGGGACCTCTCAACACTGGCTCGTACGGCAGCGATATTCTCGGCCGATCGCCTTGGTCGACTTTTATATGGCCTCTTCGGATTAGAAAGAGCCTTACTAGTCGAAAATTTTTCGTATAACCGCTTAATGGTGTTCTTAGAAGGCGCACTTCTCATATTTTTTTTCGCAATTGATTTCTTCTGTTGGATGTAAATTTCAGAGCGCTCGCGTGGCTTGTATTGGTTCATGGTAAAATCTGCTTGGACTGACGCTTCAAACGCGGTATGTCATTAAGCGATGTGATATCTCTGTCAAAAGTTATGGCGCTGCCAGATGGTTCCGTCGAATATGGGCAACCCTGTATATAGGAAGTTGGAAATTCCTACTTATGTGTACTAAATGGTGCTAAATTTTGTACAATTTAAATTTTGGGAGAACCGATAGAGTTGCAATCCTGAAATTTGGAAATAAGATTTGTACTTATTTGTAATAAATAGTATTAAATTTGGTACAATTTGGATTTGGGAAAACCGATAGAGCTGGAATCCTTAAATTTGGAAGTAAGATTACTATTGGAGTGTAGGATTGGTGAAGTGTAGGAAGTTTTGGAAATTTGTACTTATGTGTACTCAATGATACTTAATTTTGCACATTTTGGATTTGTGTGAAACAATAGATAAGATTTCTATCGGAGTGTAGTACAAGGATATGGAGACAGTTTTGTAAATTTGTACTTTTATGTACTAAAACGTACTAAATTAGGTACAAATTGGGTTTGGGTGAACCGATAGAACTGGAATTTTGAAATTAGGAAAGAAAATTACTGTCGGAGTGTGTAATGATGATATGAAGGTATTTTTGGAAATTCATACTTATAAGTACTAAATATGGTAAAATTCGGGGTTATTTTTGGAAATATGGGATAATATGAAAATAAAGGGATAATTTTGGAAATATGTGCTATAAGTGCACGAAAAGTACTAAATAGTACTATATTTGGTACAATTTGGTATTGGGTGAATATAAAGTGCTTGAAATCTAATTTGGTATAAGGTTCGGTGTTCATTTGCAACCTGAAGATATGGAGGTGGCTTCGGAAATGTGTACTATTATTGTACGAAAAGTACTGAATATACTATGTTTGATATTGCATGAAGGGAAAGAGATAAAATTCAGAAATTTAATTTTATTGGTGGTATATGTTTTTCAGATATATATTTATATGAAAAGTACTAAATGGTATTAAATTTGATATTGAGGTTAGGGCTGGGATCCCGAAATTTGGGACTGAAGTTTCTGTTGGTATCTGGTTTTGAGATATGGTGGTGGTTTTGAAAATATGTAATATAATTGTACGAAAAGTACAAAATGGTATTCCGAAGTTTAATATTGAGGTCTCTATTGGTTTTTGAGAGTGAGATATAAAGATGTTTCTGCAAATAATTGTACGAAATGTATTTAATTTTTTATCGGGTGAAGGGACAGAGTTGAAATCCTGAAATTGCATATAGAAGTCACCTTGGGCATAAGTGCTTAAGATATGGACGTGGTTTTTTTCAAAAAGTACTAGGTGGTAGTAAATTGGGTATTTGGTCAAGGGATAGAGCTGAAATGCCTAAATTTGATATTGAGGTCTTTGTTGGTATATGCAATTGAGATATGGAGGTGTTTTGGGAAATGATTACTATAATTGTACGAAAAGTATTAAATAGTAAAGGGTTGTCCATATTCGACGGACCCATCTGGCAACGCCAAAACTTTTGACAGAGATGTCACATCGCTTAATGACATACCGCGGTTGAAGCGTCAGTCCAAGCAGATTTTTACCATGAACAAATACACGCCACGCGAGCGCTCTGAAATAGTTGAAATTTACATTCAACAGAAGAAGTCAATTGTGAAAACTCAACGTGCTTTTAAAATATTAAAAAATGTGAGAAGTGCGCCTTCTAAGAACACCATTAAGCGTTTATACGAAAAATTTTCGACTGGCAAGGCTCTTTCTAATCCGAAGAGGCCATATAAAAGTCGACCAAGGCGATCGGCCGAGAATATCGCTGCCGTACGAGCCAGTGTTGAGAGGTCCCCAAGAACATCCCAAAAACGCCGTTCTCAGCAGTTGGGCATGGCTCGGTCCACTTTACAACGGATTATTCGCATTGATTTGCATTTGTTCCCGTACAAAATTCAATTGACGCAAAGAATGTTGCCTGCGGACAAGCCTCGTCGATTGGAATGGGCCCAAAGAGTCATGGGTCCGTCGAATATGGGCAACCCTGTACTAAAATTGGTATTGAGTAATGGAATGGAGCTGAAACCCTGAAATTTGATATGGATGTCACTGTTGGTGTCTGTAGTTGAGAGAAGAAGCTGATTTTGGATATGCGTACTATTATTGTACTAAATGGTACCAAACATGGTAATGGGGAAAATTTCAGAGCTCAAATTCTTAAACTTTAATATTGGAGACTTTGAAATAGTTTTGGACAGAAAAATTGGATGTGGGTCCATTGTGAAATGGAAAACTTCAAGTGAATGACTTTGGAGAGTTTTTGGTGTAAAAGGTAAACATTTTCCTAATATTCCTTACGAAAAAGGGAAAACCTTAATTAATATATAAAACCTGGAAAGTCTGAAAATTTACGATATATAAATTTTTAATCAAAAAATATTGTCAAACTGAAGAAATTGTGAATTTTTATACCCTACAACACTATGTGTTGGGGGTGTTATAAGTTTGATTGGGCCAAAAATTATGTAACACCACGAAATATTGGTTTCCCACATAGGAAAGTATATATGGATCTTCCTATCACGCCGAGCTGAGCCGATCTAGCTATGTATGTCCGTCCGTCTGTCCGTCTGTCCATGTTAATTTGTAATCACTCTACTGGTCGCAATTATGGCCCGATCTTCACGAAATTTAGAATGGAAATGGGGCTAGGGTCAGAATAAAACCCTATTTCTTTTGGAGAAGATCGCATAATATTTAGGGGTAGAAATGTACCAAAAACTGAAAAAACTCCTGATTTTGCAGTTGCTCTACAGGTCGCAATTATAGACCAATCAAAGTTCGGAAGTTAACATGGAGCTAGAGCTTTGGGCTGAGGAAATTTTTCTTCAAACCGCGAATATTTTTAATTTTTAATCACAAATAGACGGACAGGTCAATTCTGACCGTTACGTAGATGCCGATAGTAAATATATCCGTTATATATAGCGAAATATATACAATGTATATATATAAAGGAAGGGGAAGTTAGTTAGAATGCTTATATCTCAAGAATGGCTGGACCGATTTTGACAAATTTTGTCAATTCAGAATGCCCTCTTGACAAAAAAAGTATAAAATCTAAAAAATCGCAGAAAAATATGCCAATAATGATGTTAATTTAAATTTTGTAGTATTTTGTGACATTTTTTATATTTTCAAATTTTTTTTATCGCATGCGATTTTTTCAACCTTACAACACAGGTTGGGGATATTATATAAGTATTGCAAATATCGTCCGATCCTCACGAAAATTTTCAGAAGGGTAGGGTTAGGCTCAGAAGGGCTAGGCCTGTTGTTTTTAAAGATGTCCGCAATATATTTGGGTTGAACTGGACCAACAACTAAAAATGTTCCTGATTTTGCAGCCGTTATAAAGGTCACAAATATAAACCAAATCATATAGATGAGTCTAAATTTGGAGATGGAGAGGATCCTCTTGATTTTAGAGATGATCCCAAATTTTTAGGGGTTCCAAACCAAAAACAAAAAATTTCCCGATCACACAATTGAAGCCAATCGACACGCCTGAGAAGAGAGTTAAGCACAGGAAGAATTCTGGCATTTTGGTTGACCATTGGATTATATTTAGGTGTAAAATGGACCACAACAACTAACGGCACGACGAAGTGCGTAAATATTGATCAAATATCCCTGTTCAAGATGCTGAGGGTAATATCTGGGCAGTGTTCCGTGACATAATTTTAAAAGCAAAATCTTCCAAAATGGACTTGGACATAAGGGGGCTTCTAACATAATGTAGTGTTGTATGGTATCACATGGTCGGCCCCGCACGACTATAGCCTTTGCTTACTTGTTTGATATTAAATTTGATATTTTGACATTAAATTTTATATTGAAATTCCTGTTCGTTTTTAGGGTTCACTCATGAAGACTTTCAAATTTTTTTGGATAGAAAAATTGGATATGGGTCAATTGCGAGGTGGACATTTTCCTATTATTCTGTACGAAAAAAGAATAACTAGAATAATATGAATATTTAGTACGATGTATGAAGTTTAGATTTAAAAATGTCAAACTGAACAAATTGTGAATTTTTAGTACTAAGAATCCCAATTACGAACTCTTGGCACTAATCTAAAATTTTAGTTTGGACTTTTCGCTGATGAATTAGCAAAAAAATATAGTTTTGAAATATTAATACAAATATTGTCCGAAAACCAGATTTTTTAAAGTAATCCGGATAACTATAAAACTTCATTCGTAACGTAACGGTTTAAATGTCCTATTCGAGGATTTTTATAAATTATTCATACAAAAAGCCTATCAGTTTGGATTGAAAAATAACTAAAAACCTAAAAACTTAAATTTACATACCCTCCGCTTGTCTTTTTCAGATCTTTTCCAAATCGGCTGACTTTGCCATCGGTGCTTTCTACTACAGACCCCATTTGAATGAAAGCTCTCCCTACTCACAAACCCTCTACTACTATCTCTCCCACACGTATCTGGTAACGAATGTCTTCAACATCTACAGCATGTATGAGAAGATTGCCTATCCATTTCATTTGGGCCTGTGGTATTTGATTGGATTAATTCTAGCTCTAAGCTCTCTGCTCATATTCACATGTGAGTCCGGTCGGCGATGGCGGAAGCAACGCAATTTCATAATTGGTGAAAATAACCGTACGCCTCAATATCATCTCTTCGTGTTGGCCCTGGGTGCAACGGTCTCATCCACGCAACTACCACGTTATAATTTTGCCCGTTTCTTGCTCATGTGCTGGCTGCTCGGCAGCCTGGTCATACGCAGTGCCTATCAATCGGGCATGTATGAAATGTTGCGCGACAACAAACATCGCAACCCGCCCCAGACCATTGCCGATGTCCTCAAGCAGGGCTATGTTGTGCTGCTGCGAGGCTACCACAAGAGTCTGCTAAACATTCTGCCCGACATGAAGAATGTACGCGAGTTGAACGTCAGCATTTTGCAGGCATTTCCGCAACTGGCCACGGCCAGCGAACGAACTGCCGTCTTTAGCCAGTATGAATATTATGGCTATTTTGGCAAAACTAATTTGGCTACCTGGCAGAAGTTGCATTTGGTCAACGAGCGTATCTACACCCAGCAGCTGGCCATGTATGTCCGTTTGCAATCGTATTTGGTGACCGAATTAAATGCCCAAATTGCTAATGCCCAGTACTTTGGTTTTATCAACCATTGGGTGAATAAATACTATGGTCGTCCGGTAGCCGCCGTTGGCCATGGCCATCAGGGCGAGGAAAGTCAAACGAATATTCTATCGATGAACGAGTTGGGAGCTGTATTCATGATTTTGTTGTGGTTACATTTAGCGGCATTTGGTGTATTTGTAATGGAATTGTTATGGCACAGGTATGGGCGCAAATGCCGAACGATGTGTCATTAAAAAGCGCTTTTTTTGTGGCAATGAGTTGCATTTGAAATGTGTCTCCGGACATCATAATTAAATGGTGTATTTGTGCAAAATGGTTTGGGGGAGGAGTAAATAAGTGCAGAATGTTATGTTTTGCTGTGTCTATGCATATTTTAAGCAATTTTTGTTCATTATTTTATTTTGCACTTTGAATACATATGGGTGTATGTGTGTGTTGCTTTAAAGATAATAAATTCTTTTCATAAAATCTTAAATTCTGTAAAATTTTGTAAAGTCAATGAACTCGGCAAAAAATATAGTTTTGTGGATGATGAATGCCATCGGTAAATATTCGCTTTTGTATACATATCAAAAATTAATTTTAATTAAAACAAGTAAAAAAGCTGTAAGTTCGGCAATATAATGAAAATACCGAATAAAAGGAGATACCGTTATATGTGGCCGATACGAATTTTTTTTATCATAGGTTGTAGTAACCATTAATATTGTCGAATACGAAATTTACAAGTCTAAAATACCGAATATTGGGAGTACCATTATATGGGGGCTATACAAAAAGGTGGACGGGCACGAAATATTTACTAATATCGTAAGTTCCTACCGACAAAGTACACATGTGTACAATATTTTAGCTTTCTATCTCAATTCGTTCTAAATCGACTTAAAATTATAGGCTGATCATGAATATATACACTTTGTTGGGTCTGACATGAGTATTTCGTGGTGTTACAAAAAGAATGACAAACCCTCCGTAGTATGACGGAGGGTATAAAAACTTGGTAAGAATTGTTCAATAGATGGCGCTATCTTAATAACAGTTCTTGGCTACAATGTTGAGTATGCTTTGAGGCGCAACTATTTCAAAAACAACAGATCTGTTCCTTTACAGATAAGATTTGTCAAATTTTATAATCTTCTTACCCGTAAAATGCTATTAATAACTTAAAAAAATCCAGTGGGTGTTTCAACACCTCTTCCTGCATCCATTTTGGAGGCATATCATTTTATTGGACCTGGATATGTCAAAATTATATTGGATCAAATTTCAAAACAAATATTGCAATGCCCAACAACAAAAACCAATATTTAAAAAAAAGTTCGAAATATCTCTGCCAAAATCGAAATCGGTTCAGATCTTAAAATCCTTAAAATCAGATGAAGATGTATGTTAAATGTATATAAAAATCTGAACAGAGGTATTTTCGAGCAGTATCTGATGGCCGGTATTAAATATAATTGTTGTGAAGCGCATATTACGCATGCGAGGGACTTTAAAACCAAATCAGTTGAAACATATATGTGGGATCTAAAGCTATATCTGTACCGATTTTCACCAAATTTAAAGTTCTTCCTTCTAGACTGAATTCGGTCGGAAAAGCCAAAATTCACTCCAGTTGGACTGATACTAACAATCTGGTACGGTCGAAGATTTATATGTGAGCTATATCCAAATCTGGACCGATCTCCATAAAATTTAAAATGGGTATTGCAGGTCTGTATCTGGTACCAAATATCATTCTTGTGGAGTGCATATTACGAATGTGAGGGACTTAAACAGCAAATCGAATGAAACATATATATTGAAGCTATAGCTATATCTGAATCGATTTGTCAATTTTGACATACTTACTTCTAGACTGAATTCGGTTGGATGTGCCAAAATTCAGGTCATTTGGACTGATATTGGGCAATTGGTGCATAATTAACAGGAAATCGGTTGAAGTTCTATATGTGAGCTATATCTAAATGTTAACCAATTTCAATAGGGTTCGTCCTTGGGTCAAACAAAAACAGTTTCGAAAATTTTATAAATCGGATAATAAATAATAAATGCGACCCGCATTTTTTTTCAAGAAATACAGGGTGAGATAAGAAAACTGCAACAAAGGCAAACGCCATATTTTTAAATTTTTTTTTTTTTGAATGAAAGCAAAATGCCGGAAATAGCATCAAATTTTAGAATAAATTTAGATTTGTTCGAATTGTTCACATTTGGTACAAATGGTGGCCTTCAAACGACCAATAAAACCGTCACACTCTGCCCAAATGTTGCTCTGCGGTATTTTGGCCCATTCCCGGCGAAGCGCTTGTTTGAGGTGATCGACACTTTGCTATTCTTTAGTGTCAACCTTGCTTTCCTAAATACCCCAGACACAGTAGTCCAAAGGATTGGTATCCGGAGATTTTGATGGCCATTGTGCGCTGGAAATGAAGCGAGGAACCTCATTTTTTAACCATTCTTGGGTGGCGCGTGCTAAGTGCGATTGTGCTGAGTCCTATTGGAATGTCTAAGGTCTGCGGGCAAAATGTTTGCGTGCCCAAGACTTTAATACACCCTCTAGAATATATTCGAGATAATATTCGTCGATCAATATGACCAAGCGATAGGTAAAAATATCTATCCCAACATTTAGAATTAGCATAGAGATCAGTAGATATTAGATGTGAAATCGTAAGAACTTTGTCCTTTATGGCTACTCATAGTACTAAAACATCGAAATTGTATAACAACGACCTACGGAAGCTAAAATTCATATATGAAAGTCAAGCTTAGGTCATATAAATGGCGCAATGTTGAGAATGGCAAAAGTAAGAAATTAACAGCCTGTTCCACGATCTCGAAAGAAAATTTGTGCGAACGAAGGCTACTCACTCACTTTCGTATAAGAATGCGTTCCACTAACTTTCGTTCTTTCTTTCGCATAGCCTTACGTGATTCAGTGTTGCTAAACATTTTTTTGGAAAAATTAATCGCGAAATAAAGCAAAAAAAGCGTCAAATGTCTAATTTAAACGCGAAAAAGCAGCAGTGGCTCTGTCTCAACTGACATTTCAGTTGTAAACAAACAAATTGTAAATAAACAAACAAAATAAAATTTCTAGTGATTGTGTTCAAACTATTTGTGCTCTTAGAAAATAAAAAAAAGAATATTTTCGTAGCCCTATTTTTTATGGAGGAGGTTCGAAATGTGCCACGGAGGAATTTAAGAGATGCTTCGAATTTATTTGAAGTACCTAACAACCAGTAAGTATGATTGTATTTTTACATTTTTGAAATAATAAAAAATAATTTTTTCTAGGTTTGTGGCCAACTTTCGTGTGTCGAAGGAAGTTTTCGGGCTCTTTTGGATATGATGGAAGAGAAGTGGGTGCCCGGTTGCAGAACTACCCAAATCCGCCCCGATTTAAAACTTCTTCTGCTGCTTCCAAAAATTGGCATTCCTCTGGCGAACACAGGATTCTCCTCCATTTACTCAACTAGTGCCCGCAGCTGTGTAGTTGATGATTTTTTCGTGCTGGAATTGAGAAAATAAAAAATATATATATTTGTTGTTCACATATTAAATTGCATTTATTATTTTTACTTACATTTTTGTTTCCATTTTCAATCAAGCAATGTTAATGTTAAAACAATTTTCCTTAATTGTTATTATACGATAGCAAACACACAAGTGACTGATGTTGACATTTGTGTTCGCATGCGTACGAAAGAAAAAAGATAGTGGAACGCAAAATTACACTGAAATGCTTACGTTTTCGTTCGCTTTGATTTTCGTGCAAATTTTCGTTCTGATAGATTTTAGTGGAACGGAAATCAGCTGTTTGTCGTGTAAAAGTTGTGCGAACGTGTTCTTTCGATATCGTGGAACTGGCTGTAAAATAGCGTAATTTTCGGATATTCATACATTAAGGAAACGAGAGGTACTAAAAAATATGAAATAGTATATATTTGAGTAATGAAGGTAGATGAGACCCACGGAACTTTATAATTTAGGGTTGATACTTCAGAATTTGTGATAAAATTATTAGTTAGGAGTCTCTTTTGGTTAAAAAACGTAGAATTTTTTGAACATCATACTTTTAGAGTTGGAAAATACTCAAATTTGTAAGAGGCTAATTTTAGAAAATTTTAACCGGCATTATTAAGATGCGGTATATTTCTGCAAAATTGGGGTTTCAATGCCAGACCAAACTTTTAATACCCTCCATCATTTTGAAGGAACTTGAAAATTTTCCAAAAACTCCACCGGAAAATACCGCTCAAAGGAAAATCGTAATATGGGGGCTATACGAAGACGTGGTCCTGCATTGATATTTTTTGACGTAATACGTATCGCATTGATATTTTTTGACGTATTTTTTGACCCAATAAATGGAGGTGTCATTACAAGACAATTTTCCATCATAGGTTGTAGTAGTCAGTACTTGCTTTTAGACAGATACTACATTTCAAATAAGCAATTAACTCTATATCGATTTCAGACAATAACCTATTAATCTAACTTAGCTCGTTAAAAAAAAAAAAAAAAAAAAAAAAAAAAAAAAAAAAAACAAGTTAAAAAGCAGTAAGTTCGGCCGGGCCGAACTTTGAATACCCTCCACCATTTGCAACGAATTTGGAAATAAAATCCTGAAAAAAAGTTATTAAAATTTGTATAATACCGAATATTGCCGTTACATTGGTGGCTATACGACGTGGACCCACACAGGCATTATTTATCATAAGTCATTACCAAATTCAAATTCGGAACTTGAAATAAACGGTAAATAATGTAGCTAAAATTATCAAAATATAGAATATAGGGAGGTACCATAATATCGGACCTGTGCGAAGAACTGAACCTGCGTAGACAATTTTTTGTCATAGGCTGTAACATCCATTACGAACTTCAAATACGACATTTCAAACAATTTCGGTGAGTATTGTACCTAAACTCGTCAAAATAACGAATATAGGGAGATACTAGTATATGGGGACTATACGAAGACCTGGACCTGCATAGACAATTTTCTGTCACAGACTGGAGATTCCATTACGAACTCTAAATGCGTAACTTAAAAAAAAATTGGTGAATAAAGACGCTAAAATCACCAAAATACCGAATATCGGGAGGTACCGTTATATGGGGGCTATACGAAAACGTGAACCTGCAGAGACAATTTTCTGCCTTAGGCTGTAGTATCCATTTCGAACTTCAAACACCAAATTTGAAACAATTTCGGTGAATAATGTCGCTAAAATCATCAAAATACCGAATATCGGGAGGTACCGTTATATGGGGACCGTTATATGGACCTACATGGCCCATTTACGAACTTAACCTGCCTACTGTAAAAATAAACATGTGTGCAAAATTTTAACCTTATATCTCGATTCGTTCGAAAGATAGCGTGATTACAACAGACAAACAGACGGACATCGCTAAATCGCTTATCGCTTAGAATTTTACGCTTATCAAGAATATATATACTTT